AAAAACAACCAACTCTACCTTCCACTTATGGTCAATTATTTCTCTTGACTCTAAAATCTAAGCTAAAGGTCAACTTTCATAAAGTAGGGTAAATAAATTCTCACAATGTCAACCTCTAAGGTAGAGTTTTCAGGGGTAATGGGGGAGTTCCACAACTCCTTTGCTGAAAAAAATTCTGAACACTTATATCCATTTGGTACATGACGTACTACTTTCTAGAAGAGACTTGTTCCGATTAGAACAGAACAACCTTTCTAGAAGTTACATCATCTAGCCCTGGAATTCAAATAAATGACACCAAACTTCTGGAATTGCATAAAGCTCACAGATATCAGTGATAACCCTTGATTGGTCAGGGCTACTTTAACTTAGCTCTTTGACATATAAGAAAACAACTGCTTAAATCATCTGGCTCTTTTCAAGGACACCACAGTAACTAAACTGGTTAGTGTTTGGTCTCATTGGCCTATATAGCCATCTTGTGGCTGGTATGGGGATAATTAAATTCAATTTTTCAATCATTACTGAGAATCCCTAAGTACAAGGTACTATCAGAATGAATTAAAGAGAAGGGGCTGGAAGACCAGAGCAGGGAGCCAGTCTCACCTAGTTCACCATTTCTGAGAAGCTTCCGGGCCATTTCAACCGCCTGTTGAAGGTCCTGTAACTGAGAAACTAGGTGGTCCCTGCTGATGGATTCTGTGCAAGATCTGTTGCCACAGCTCAGCATGTCATCTCCCTGTGGAAGTCAGTTTTATTTTTATTCCTCTGCCAGAGTTGGTATGTTTTTTTTCTTATATGATTACTCTGTAGTTGCTGACCCCACAGGGGAAAGAGCTTCCTGCAATAACACATCATAACCAAAGCCAGCTAGATTTCGTTTGATAGCAGCAATTCTAATGAAGGCAGTAGCTGATCTCACTTGAGATTTATTTTTTTAGAACAGAACTGGCAGAGTCCACAATTTCTTTCCATTTCTATAGCCCCCTCTCTACTCTCTTGGAGCCAGGACTTTGGATGATAGACATTTGTAGTGGTTATGCAAATGTCATAAGAAAACCAATAGAAAAAGGTGCTAGGGTGGTGTCTGTGGCTCAGTGAGTAGGGCGCCGGCCCCATATACCAAGGGTGG